CTCGAAAACGTTTGTCAAGCGATATTTAACGTATACGCATAGAGCACCGGTCACAGGTTCCGATAGTGTGACGTTATAGAAAATAATAGTGGAAGTTTAGGACAATGTATAATTATATTATCTGTGATATTTTCTGAAGTTCAGGTAAATAACATTTTATTCTTAAATATTTTAACAATATAAGGATTAATGTAAACAATGCAGGCACATTCATTAATGAGAGCGATTGTGATTGTACTGCTTCCCTTATCAATGTAGCCACGCATGATCTGTGAAATATTTCTATTTTTATTGGTATGCAGTTGTGAAAAGGTTGAAGAGTAGTGGTGTAGATTGAGGGATCTTAATGTGTGTTTAGATTTCATTCATAATTTAGCTAATAACAAAGTGTTATGTAAGTGATGTCAGAAAACTCAAAGTTGTTTCATTGATCTCCTCAACATTCTTAAATAATTAGTTTCAGCAGTTGTCATTAAGTTTTGCAGATTATCTGATACCATTATCAGATAGTTTGCAGTTTAGCCAAAGAAACATTGAAACAGAATCAATCAGTTTTTCAGTTTTTGTTATCAGTTTCTATTTTTAGGCAGTGTGAAACCCAAATCATATGAAGTAAAGTTCATTGCATTGGATGAAGTGATATGCTTTTAACTGATGAATTATTTTTACTCCATTTTTTGAAACCCCACACAAAAATAATAAAATAATGAAGTATTATGTAGAATAAATGAGATTTTTAAAATGGTCATCAAATTATAATTTATAATATAACTATTATATCACTCAATCACACACAAAAATGATAAAAAATGTTAGTTTAATCAGTTGGATAAATATTTTTGTTGTTGTTCAAGGTTGTATGTGATTGATTGGTCATCAAATTGATTAAAAATTGGCAAAGTATAATTAAAATAGCTGTAGAAACACACTAAAATTTTGCAAGTGAAAAAATGAGTTAAGCTGAGTGAAAAATGACAATTTATATATCAAATGCAAGCTTGTGCTCAGATTTGATTTAAAATTTTTTCCTGTAATTACGAGTATATTTCTATACATTTTTTTTAATTAAAAGTTAACTTTAAAGTATTATTAGGAGAAATATATACATAATGTTAAATAATAATAATAACTACATATTTAAAATTTATTATATTTCATTTTTGTTTCTCATGGAATTGATTGCATCTAATAAAATATTTACTACAATTGTGGTCAAATTATATTGTATTATTATAATTTTTTTTAAATAACACTCATGAAGTGATTCCAAATAATTTTTTTTTTGTGTAGGAGGGAGTGATGTATCAGTCAAATTGTGTGATCATGGTTGGGCATCATTGGTATGTGGTCGCAAATTATTTGTTTGGAAATTTAAACAAACACCAGAAACAAGAAATATGGTAATATTATTTATATATTTTTTGGATTTATTTTTGTGATATCAATGTTTTAAATTAATTGATAATGATAAGTATTTAAGTTATAATTTATTGGGTTATATTGAAAAGTGCTCCAAAATATTGCATAATTAGATATCTTAAAATAAATTTAAGAATTTTTTTACAACATTTAATTATATATATATAGAATAGTTGTAGTTTATTAACTATTTTGTTGTTTGGATCCAAGTATATACAGTCAGTTTTACTTTAATTAAATTTATATGCTAATTCTACTACCTATAGTCTGTCTATGAAAAGTTTCAACTTGAGAACAACGTCATGCATGATGTTGCTTCAGTTAAACCAATCGGCACATTCCTTAATTATGTCAGCACTTTTCGCTTAATATTTCAGGCAATATGTCTCACTAGATGGCAGAACAACTTTTTCGTTAATTATGTTCAATTTTAATAGCATTCATAAACTGTAAAGAATCATGCATTTAACTACTACTACAGCAAACTTCCTCACATTCCAATACCGGAATGTGAAGCTTCCATTGTACTGTTTCTAATGGCAGTGACATGTTTAACAAATGAGGAAGTAACTTGCCACAACCAAGCAATCAATGGCTAATGCTTATTGGTTAATACCCAAGTTGATTCTTTTCATAGACAGACTATAGTATCACAGAAATGAAATTTAAGAAGTATATAAATATAATAAAAGTTATGAGTCAAACACCAAATAAGTAACTAATCTAACAACATTTTAGTAGTTCTACTAACTCTATCTCTAACTACTTCTTCACATTTGCTTTTCTCATCTATTTATCTCTTTCCATTTTCTTGTCACTCTTGGTTTTGCTTTGAATTTTGAGGAGTGATTTTCCAGGAAAGAGATATTTCTCTATCTTATCAAAACTGATTACTACATTAAGAAATTCTATTAAAAATATTAATTAAACCATATAAAAATAAACTGGCATTAAGTAATGTAAAATTCAATAAAAATACAATTAGCTGATAATAGGAATAAAGTCATTTATTTATCTTTACTTTCATGAAGTTTATTATTTGAAATATAATCCATTCTTTTCTGATGATTTAGTTATCTAATCTTTAACTCATTTCTGATATTATCTGTAGGTTTCTCACTGTAGAGAATTAACTTTACCACCAAGTGATCTTGCTCATAAAGCAGAATTAGTATGTGTACTAGTCAGTAAAGATTCACATATGCCAGCAGCATTAGCTGTATCACCTGAAGGTATTGTACGTTATTGGCCTAACATTGCCCATGAAGGATCATCAGTTGAAGTTACAGCTGAACTTCATGGTCAAGAATGTTTTTCTTTAACAAATATACAGGTATAGTATAATAAATGTACAAATGAAATATTATTAGCAAAAGTAGTAAGTTTTTTTATAATTAGAGAATTTTTTTAGCCATTAGGTTGCATTTTAGCTACTACAACTAATTCAATCATTTTGATTTCTCCATTCATGAGTGATGGTCAGGTTTGTTGTTTTTATAATTTTTATATAGTATTGAAACTGTATTAATAAATTCTAAAGATGTATAAATTAAAAATAGTAAATATCATTATAAAATAATTGTTTAAAATTTTTCTAAAATATAATTTTATATTAATTTTGCAGAACAGTATTCATTGTAGAACATTAAGAATTCCCCAAGGAATGTTAGCTGGATTTAGTCGGAGAGTATTTTCTTTTGTATTTGGAGCAGTGCCGAATCAATCTTTTGAAAATGTAAGACTAACAAAATTATTTTGTGAAAATAAATATATTTCTCTATGTTAAAAATAAGTAATATTTTTATTTTTTGGTTTCATAGATATTAATAATTATCAGAACTAAATATAACTAGAATCTTGTATTAAGTACTTTTAGAAAAAGTTTCAGTAGAATATTGCAAGATGGTAATTAAATTTAAAATATTAAAAAGCAAATGTACAGTCTGTAGAAACTGGAATCGCCATTTATTCAATGTCAATGTTCTGGAATATATTTTTGACGACTGTCATTTTCTTGTAGGCTAACTTGGCTGTCAAAATTAAAAGCTTTTCTTTAAAACAATAAAAAAGTAATCTAATTAAAAACAAAAGTGTTAAAATCAAAACTTGACGGCCAAGTAGCCTACAGGAAAAGATCGGTCATCAAAAGTGTATTCCAGAACATTAAAATTGAATAAATGGTGATTCCAGTTTCAACAGACTTTGCATTCAATTTTTAATATATTAAATTTTATTTTTAGAAAATATTTATTAATCTAAAAACTTTAATTTTATATATTCCTAAAAATTTTGCTTTCTAAAACTACATTCTTTGGGTATAAAAAATACACTATAGACTAACCTAAAGTACAGTAAAACTTCTCTAACTCAAATGTCTGTAACTTGAATATTTTTTTAACTTGAAGAAAATGGAGCACTTGGAAGGTCTCAATGGAATAGAATAGAATTAATGTCTCCAACTTGAATTTCCTTTAAATCGAATTTTCTCCAAGTCGAAGGTCCTGACACTGATTTATGTTACTTTCAACTTTCCCAACTCAAATTTTAATATTTATTATATTGAAAATGATCTTAATTACCAGATTTCCATGAAATTTTCAGACAGTTAGTTGTATCTACTGTCCAATGCCCATTTGCAGACAATGTTCCAGTCGAAAGCAAGCAGACTTCTCATTTTATCTCAACAAGATGTATCTGTAAAATTGTTTGATTCCATTAATTATACTGAACATTTTGCTGAAAGGCTGAACAAAAAAGTTATCAAAGATTCTTTATATAATGCAAGAAAGCGAAAAAATACAAATATATTCAGAATTGGCATTTTTCATTCTATCATTCTCTAACTTGAATCATCTGTACCACAATGTTTTTTTATTTTTTTGCCTTTTGGAGCTTTGAGTTAGAGAAGTTTTACTGTATGTTAAACTTTATTAAAATAATGATGGTAATATAATATTTAAAGTAATTTCATACTTAATGTTATATTTAATAGTTGATCATAATATTAACTTTAGTACTTTCTAATGTATTTCTGCATTTATATTTCTTAAAAATAATTGTCTGATTATAAACTTGATAAATATTAATTATATGAATAGCATGACTTAACATATTACACATAGCTGAACTGTCTTGGTAGTCCCCCAAAATGATTAAAAACCAGCCAAATTATTTAGGATGAACAGATTTATAAACTGATCTTAAAATACAATAGAATCTGTTTATTGTAATCACTTTGGGACTTGTACTGCTAATAATAACCAACTGATAACATTAAATGATAAGTAAATATGACTTATAATAAATAAAAATTCTAGTAATATTGACTCTGACATTAAAAGGACATATTAAAACAAAAAAATACACAACTTGACAATTTATTAATCATTATTATTATTATTATTATGTGTTGGGTTTAGTGGGTTATACTCGGTACACACCGGTGGCTGATTATTATTATTATTATTATTAATTAGTAGTAATTCATTCAATGTTGTTTTCCTGCTAATTCTGATAATGTTAGATGATAGATAACAATATTTGTGACAAATAAGTAGACTTTACTGTTTATTGATTACATTTTTAGATCAAGTTTAAATCTAAATTCATTTAAATTTAAAATTTTTGGAAATTTCAATTCAAAAAATTTGGAAAGAAAGACATAATCAAACAATAATTTTATAAATAAAAGTGTTTTACTGGAAGTATATTAAGAATATTGAATGAGAAGTAAGTCAGAAATGGCAATGTTTTTACAGCCATTAAGTTGGTCTATGAATATTTTTGCAATACGTTCTTAGAATGTAATTTTGGCTCATTATGCTATAATAAAGCAGTGATTAATAAATTTTATGTAGCATGACTTTTTTAATACAGGTAACCCCCGTATAACATGATACTTCTATTGCACGAGTTCACTCTAACACGGTTTGAGAATTGGGAACATCCCCGTATAACACGGTGCTTTTATAGCACGGATTCACTCTAACATGGTTCAAGAATTGGATAAAACCCTCTTACAACATGAAATGTAATAAATTTTCACATACTTAAGTATTTAATAGTTTACGAAAATTATTACTTTCATGAACTATTAGTACTTAAGTATGTAAATTTTCTTTTCCCACCTTCTGTCGATACGTGTGGTCCTTCTCAAAACTTGTTTCACTGTTGCCAGATCTCAACGCTTCTGATTTTGGTGTTGCCAGATGTTTTTTCCTTATTCCATACTTGCTTTATTCTTCATAAGTGCTTAGCACCATATAAGGAAATTTATAAAGATCTTTTAACTAAAAGCAAGCAATCTAAAATAGCATATTTTTTGTAAAACATAGAGCATAGATCTGAAGATAATGCAGAAAAATGCTCAGAGGATAAGGATATCTTGCCAAAAAGAAAATGCCCTCGGTTAATAGTGCTGAGTGATGACGAAGAAAACATTGTTTAATTTATATTAATATGTATCACTTAAGAAAATTTTAATAAAGATATTTATCTTAATAGCATGTTTTTTTTAATTTTTGGAACCTAACCCCCCCTTTTCGTACTAGTTCTTTGTTTCGCATAACACGGCAATTTTTTGGAACATAACTCCCATGTTATACAGGGGTTACCTGTACTTATCCTAAATGTTCATTAGTCCTGCATTTTCAATTGTATGGATTACTTAAGAAACTAACTATTGCTTATAGAAATAACTTTGAAATGTTAGTGAAATTTATAATATAAAAAAATATTTGTTTTGTTCATTAAAAATTTTTTTAAATTAAACTTTTATATTTCAGAAATCTTTAATCAAAGTACTTTCTGAAAATGGCAATGAAGATGATGAAAAATACTTATATGTTTTAGCTGGAAGTGCTTTACAGAAATGGTATCTTTTGGATCATGAACCTGATAAAGTAAATTTTAAAATTGTATCATTGATCATATTAAATTTATTATTTAGAAAAATACTGTTATAAAAAATAGTTATTAAATAGATAAGAATTAAGATAACTATATTTTTTCTTTTTTTTTTAATTTTGATTTTTTTAATATAATATATACACATATCTAATTTATATTTTTCACAAAGTTTAAAGTGTACACTTTTTAATATATTAATTACTATATTTAATACTATTTGTATCAGATAAGTGTTTCTAAATAAAAGTATAAAAATCACTGCATGGCATCCAGTGTAGCAGTAGTACTTTTATTGTTTGTTTAATTTTTCAGAATGAATTAATTTAATATTTGTGAACATGTTTTAAGCATATTCATTACTTATGATTAAAACATGATTTTAAGTTTTCTAATACAGTCAAATCTGAGTAATTTGAATTATTGGATAAATTAAACTTTGTTTATTTAAGTTATTGTTAAATAATACATTTCATTTGAGGTTTTTTTAAGTGTAAATTTGAGTAATCCAAAGATAGTACAACCAAGGGATCAAAGTCCTGCAACAAGTGATTTTTTTGAACCTCAGTAACTTTGTTATTATATAAATCTAATCAAATTTATATTACAATTATTAATAAAATGGCTTACTAATTTATTAATAATTGATTATAATATTAACTTTAGTACCTTTTTTTTTTTTTTTTTAAAAAAGGACCACAAATATTGTTATTAAATTATTTATTTTTACAGTGCAATACAAAAAAGTGAAAAACATATCATGGACAAATATCTTGTAACATAGGAAAACTAAGATAAAAGTTCTGTAACTTTGATTAAATTCATAAAATTATGTTATAACAATTTGATATTTTATATAGAAAATGATCATTGTGTGTTTTAACTTGCGTTAGCAGAAGTATTTTGCATATTGGACTTGTAAGAATGAAAAAATTTATTTAAATATACTTGTGGTACCTAATTGTAAACCAATTGGAAAAGATGTAAGAGAGTTAATTATTAAGAAACATTTACAAAGTGTTTCTAACTCAGAAATAAGCAAGCTAACTGAATATTGCAAATCTACTCTGGGTAGAATCATTAAAAAGTAAAAGGAAACTGGAAAAACAGATGTGCAACCAAGATCAGGAAGACCATGTTATAATAGAAAGTTAGAAGATAAAGTTTTCAGAAGTTTTATAACAACTTTTAGGAAAAATTCAGCAAAATGTTAACTAACAAATGGAGTGAAATAACTAAAAAAACTATTTCTGTGAAAACAACAAGGCAGAGACTAAAAGAAATAGCTATGAGACTGTTGCTTTAAGTGCAATGAAAATAAAGAAAATTAAGTAGTATAGAGCAGTGTTTTTTAACAGGGGGCCGCAGCCCCCTGGGGGTTCGTAAGAAGTTTGCCGGGAGCCGCCAAATTATGCAAAATTTCCTTCAGAATATAATAAAAAGAAAATTGATGTATAACTGAATATCATATCGAAAAGTGAAATAAGAAAGATATTTAGTTTTTTTTTTATTTATTTCTTATTTACTCCTACATACAACTTTGTTAGTACAGAAGAAATAAATGCAAATATGCTACTTACACCGCAGTATTTACTTCTTTTATTCCAAAGTACAGTAATTCTAAAGAACTATTAATGATTGGAATTTTAAAAATAAAGCAATAATAAAAAATCAATTTATTATAGATAATTTAACGAATATAAATTACACTGTTCTGCAAAAAAAAACTTTTTTTCTATTTCTGAAAAAATACATTGTGTTCCTAGTTGTACTTCGAGCACTGAATTCAAACCTGTTTTTAGTTTTTTTCTGTCAGGGATAGTTTATGAGTAATCACAATTTTATTTTTTCTTTATGTTTCTGATATAGTGCAGGACACATTAGCTGAAATTCAAGAAAAAAAATCAGCTTTTTTATGATGTTATTAAGTTCATCATATTAAGGGAGGTTGGGATCTAACATATAACATATACATCTTAGTGTATTCGCTTTGTAGCATTTATTTCACATGAGCAATTACAGAAAATTGACAAAAATGAGCCACCATATAGTAATGAACATCACTTTTTCTCATGTATTGAGAATCTTTCTTCTCTCAAATGATATTCCAGCAATAATCTGCTAACATAGAAGGTACCCACTTCTCTTCATAACGCCTTTCTATAGTAGAAATGTCTTTATGGAATCTTTTGCCATGTTCAACCGATACGTCACTACAACTCTCTGTGAAGTAGTTCAGATGAGTCTATAATATGTACCTTCAGAGACATATTGCACCCCAGATCTTGGTGTGCTTTGATCATGTAATTCACCATTGCTTTGTAGTTGGTAGCTCTTCTTCCGAGGAAGTTTTCTGATACCATCTTGAAACACTCCCATGCTCTCTTTTCTTTGGCAGTTAAACATGCTTCAAAATTTGCATCTTTCTTCAACTCCTTGATTCGCGGGCCCATACATACACCTTCCTCTATTTTTGCAGCTGAAAGATGGGGAATTTGTCAGCTAGATATGCAAATCCACTGCCTGTTGGATCCATGGCCTTTACAAATTGTTTCATTAGGCCAAGTTTGATGTGAAGCGGTGGAAGTAGTATATCTTCAGGAGTTACCAGACTTTCATGTTGCACATTCTTTTCGTCCACTTTCCACCTCCACTTAGGCCAGTTTTTTACATTTAGTTAGAATTTCTGTCATGACTATCCCACTCGCAAAGAAAACATGCATACTTCGTGTAGACTTGTTGCATTCCCAATGTCATAGCAATTACTTTGAAGTCTCCACATATTTTCCATTTGTATTCATTGTATTGTAATGAATTTATCATTCTTCATAAGAATTTGTAATTCTCTTTAGTCAAGCTGGCATAAGCAACTGGAACAGAGGGGATTTTATTTCCATTGTGGAGAAAAACACCCTTGAGACTTATTTTCAATGCATCTATGAAAAGTCTCCACTCCTGTGAACTGTAGGTGAAGTTCAGCACCTTCATTAGGCCAGCAACATCATTGTCACGTTCGATTATTACTGCATGCAGCAACGTACCCATATTTCTCTATAACGTCTGTGTTTGCCATGAACTGTGAATATATACATATATATACTTGTTACACAAAAAGTATCCCTGACAACAAAATTCTGTTTCCAGATTTGAATTTTCCATGATAAATTGGTTTAGAATTACACATTTTAATATCAGAAATAGAACCCTTGTCAAACAGTGTTATTATTTTAAAAAATGGAGGTCACCAAAAAATTATGAAATATTTGGTGGACTGCGAGTATAAAAAGGTTAAGAACCACTGGTATAGAGAGTATAAAGATTGGAAAAAATTGGAAAAATAACTGAGAAAAAGTAGTTAGTGATGAATCAAGATTTTGTCTATTTAAGGATGGAAACACAAAGGTGCTGCAAAAAAAAAACTGAGAATATCATTCTAATTACATTTCGAAGACTCAAAACTTTGCACCAGGGATTATTGTGTATGGAACTTTAACTGCTGATGGACTTCTGAGCTTAGAAATTGTGAAGCAAAACATTGGTTCATCACTTTACATTAAAACAGTGGATGAAAATCTTATACCAACAGCTAAGTATTATTTTTCTGACTGTGTATATGTCAACAGGGTAGTATTCCTGCCCATATAGTCAAGAAAATGAAAATCATAGTTTGAAAACATGGGAATAGAGATACAGTACAGCCTCGATTATCCGACCCCCGATTAACCGACACCTCGGTTAACCGATTGTCCTAGTCACAAATTTCAAATGTCCGCTAGTGATGTGGCGCTACAATATTTGGCTATGTCTTGGCTACTTTAATATTATTTTTACGTGTTTTAGCTGGCAACACTCATTCAACCATGAAAGGGAGCCAGTATTTAAACGACACTTAATTTTCTAATTTTTAACGATATAATAGCGACGATTATTATTTAAAAAAAATTTTTGTTAGGCTTAACATCGATGAAAATTCAACGCGAAGTAGGTTAATAGCGATATACTAATATACTAATTACATGGGATATAATAATATACTACACTAATAATGGATTTTTTCATACTTTTCGGTTATCCGACTTTTCAATTATCCGACCAACCCCAGTCCCTAATTGAGTCGGATAATTGATGCTCTACTGTATTAGATTGGAATGACAATTCATTAGACCATAATCTCATTTTATAAATATGGGAGTATAATATAAGTTTCAAAAATTTAGACAAAAACATACATCTAGTATGGAAAGAAATTACTGCTCAGGAATTTGAGAAGTTAATTTATTTCATGCCACAAAGAATTAAAGCAGTTTTAAAGGCCAAAGGTGAATCTACACAACACTAAAATCAAAGTTGCAGGACTTTTGTCAGTTTTCCTGTGTTGCAGGATTTTTGTCCAATATATGTTTTTATTTTTTGTATTTCACTGTAAAAATAAATAATTTCATAATAAAGTTTGTGTTCTTTAAAAAAAAAAGAATGTTTCTTTTTATTTTATTAATAATTGTTATATAAATTTGATTAGATTTTTTTGGCCATAAAGTTACTGAGGCTGAAAAAAAATCGCTTGTAGGACTTTTGTCCCTTGATTTTATATTTCGTACTTTGATAATAAAATTCAACTAAGAGAAAATGAGATGTTAGTTAGGTGATTTATAGAATGAGTTGATTTTGGAGATTGCTAAAATGTGTGTTCTGTAAACTTCTGAGATGTGGGCTAAATTGTCAAATTTCAAAGTTAATTAATAATATTTGCATCTAGATAATGAAATTGTTTAGCTATGTTTTTATGTCTAAGTGTGGAACGTTTACAAGTTTATCTTTAGCTTAAAAAGTTGATATGATTAATGAAATAGAAAAAAAGATAGAGAAAATGTGATATTGCCAAAAAAATATAGAATGCTGGTGAACATTAGAAATTTATAGTTTAATTTTCAAAAATTTAAGACTGGATTCCTCCTGGTGTTTGAATTAAAAAAGCTTAGACTATACAGGGTGTCCCAACGAAAACGAAACGGCAGAGATATCGCGTTCGTCCAAGCAAATCGCTCAGACAGGTCAATTTTATTCTCAAGGGGGACATTTTCTGCAATGAAGTTTTTGCGATTCTGAATACAACAGACAACAAAATTTTTAAAAACTTATTCATTTTTTATTAACTAAACAAACATTTATTATTAAACAAACGTGATGTCTTTTAACTAATGAGCGGTCGAGTCTTCAGATGTTGTCCGAGTAGCATTCCTATGGCGACCAACATCGTCTGTCGAACGACTAAAAGCGCGGGAAAACGAGTGTGCCAGACGATTTTTATCCCGACAAAACAAATAATAATCTTAAATTCGAATTGAATCACTATGTGGTCAAGCTTAATGTGAACACTACAAAATACTGTATTATAACATTTGGAAACAGATAACACATTATCAACCTTAATTTTATGATCAACTTATTTTTCCTTGCATATGTGGTCTAGCTTAAAAGGTTTTTTTATGTTTTTTAATAGTTTGTGTTACTTTATTTGAAATAAATGTTTGTTTAGTTAATAAAAAATGAATAAGTTTTTAAAAATTTTGTTTGTTGTATTCAGAATCGCAAAAACTTCATTGCAGAAAATGTCCCCCTTGAGAATAAAATCGACCTGTCCGAGCGATTTGCTTGGACGAACGCGATATCTCTGCCGTTTCGTTTTCGTTGGGACACCCTGTATAAATATTGTATTATTGTTGCAGGTGTCATGCTGCATATGCCAAAATTGCCACTTGTCGATATTTTTATTAAAGCAGTGATAAAAATATAATACTGGCAATAGCAAGTTGTGATAAAAACCCTAGTCTGCTTATTTCAACGTTCAGCATGAAATTGAATCACAAAGCACACTTCAGATAAAATAGCAGAATGTCTAGCTCCCATGCAATTGAAGTCCTCTGTACTAAACACTTAGTGATTTTATGATGTCACATGAGGACAGAAAAGTAGGAAGTGACATTGAGAACCAAAGGCAGTTTTTGCAATGCTGCCCAACATTTTCACATTGGAGATTTTTTTATCAACTGTGAGAAAATTCGGAGAATTTTTCAGTGTGACTTTTTTCCATTTCGATCTTCTTTCAGTAAACTAAAACAAATATTTTGACTTGACAGAACTTGTAAAATACTGTTAAAACATTGTGATCAAATGTGTTATTTTGGATTATTGATTAAAAAATTATTCAAAAATGATTCCTATTTCTAACAAGGAGAGGGCCAGATGTTTGGATTTCTGATTCGAATGACACTTGGTGAACGTGTAGCCCTAAACACAAACAGCTCCTTGTCCAAATAATTGGATCCACTTTAATTAGTAAAACTGGTGATGATAAATAATTTAAAACTGGCAAAATGGTTGGAAATATTTTTAAATGTTTAAAGTGACATCTGTTGTTGTATATGTAAATAATAAAACATTTATATAATAATATATTTATGTTTTATTATTTATAAATATGAAATTGCTAAAATAAAAGAGTTGCATTTTTAAAAAGTATGTAAGGAAAGTTTTGCTATAAGTAATAGATATGTATATATCCATGGTGCGGTTTACTTTATATTACTTTTAAAAAATCAATTTTTCAAAAATATTTCCTCAAAATTGATGAAAAAACTTTATGGGTTAATTGTACATAAATAACCCCCATTTTTTTTGCCTGGACCGCATTTAATCAGAGACAAACCTTTTATTCGTATTTTTTATTTATTTTCTATGCATTTCAGGTGCAATATTTTCTTGTAATTTGCACCCCTCTTCAGGATTTTTACATTTCTGTTTTAAGTTTTAGATCGACATCTGCCCAGTGTTGATGTTATGTCCCCTAAGGCCCTCAACACTGGGCAGATGTCGATCTAAAACTTAAAACAGAAATGTAAAAATCTTGAAGAGGGGTGCAAATTACAAGAAAATATTGCACCCGAAATGCATAGAAAATAAATAAAAAATACGAATAAAAGGTTTGTCTCTGATTAAATGTGGTCCAGGCAAAAAAACGGGGTTATTTATGTACAATTAACCCATAAAGTTTTTTCATCAATTTTGAGGAAATATTTTTGAAAAATTGATTTTTTAAAAGTAATATAAAGGAAAGTTTTGTATGATTGAGTTGGTTCTGAAAAATATTGATTATTTTCTTATGAAATATATTAGTTTGCAATGTATTTGTAAGCAAGAATACTATTATTTTGTTAAATTGTAAAACAATAATTAATATTTTATTATTTTGAAGTTGCTCTATGAATATGATATGGATAGACAGATAAAGGAATATTTTCTTGATGCTCTTTGGGTAAATGAATTTTCATTCAAATATATAAATGCATTGTTTTAAATATACTTGTAGAAATCACTGAATTGGCTTTATATTTCAGAGCCGAGAAAATTTTCATATACATCAATTAAAAGCTTGGTCAGTTGATATGCAACTTTCAAGGTACTGTACATTGATTACTTCCAATTTTATACTAAATTTTTATTATAAAATAAAATTTAAGAATGAATAATATGATATATTAAGATAGTTATTTTTTAATGATATTTCACTTACTCTTTGCCAACAATAATTTTTAGTTGCAAATACTTAAATATTTGTCTCAATAAAATTTTGAATTTTAGATTGTAATTAATCTGTTATTAAAAATTTTGAAAAATAATGTTCATAAATAAATACAAAGAATTTTGAATCTTTCAATTTTTTATCTTCTGGATATTCTTTTAAAATCCATTATTAGAAATTACAAAATAATGGGAATTTTAAAATTTATTTTATAGTTTATTAAAAATGTTAACATTACATCTATAATGTGTATTAATTTGAATTTAATACATGTTATAGATGTATTAAATTCAAATATATGATGTAATGAAATGTTGAAAAGTTACTAAGTAATTTAATGATCAACTTAATATTGAATATTAGTAGAGATCATTTAATTATTAAATTCAGAATATAAAATTTAAAAATTTTTAAAAATTTGCCAATAGTTATGAGGAAAATTTTATAAATATAAAATTGTAATACTTGTAGCAAAAGGTAACTAAATTAAATACATTTACATTTGAAATTTTATTGTATGTTTTTATTCTTAATCATTAATCTTCACAGTTTAACAAGATTGAATTGCATTTGACAAATGTTAAATGAGAATAAAATTCATTTTATACGTAAATTATCCTTATATAATCCTTATGAATATTAACATTTCCTTGCTGTCACTGTAGATCTATGCTTGGAGAATACCATATAGAATTATTTTGTCTCTATCATTCTATATGGAGCACAATCTTTGAATCAAATTACAATTTTTTATTTTATAATAATAATAATTAAAACTATTTTAAACTTAAAAAGTTATGATGGCAACGTAGTCAATGTGGTTAAGACATCAACTATTAATTGAGGGCTTAGAGTCAAATCTAAGCAAGCCACTTCAGAAATTTTTCAATTATAGTAAGTCTCAGATATGTTGGGTCCCATCCCTCATCACCCCATTGTCTACATATGGATAGGACCATGTGACTACAGTAAACATTATTATGAGAGACTTTCAAGAATTTCTTAACAAATATAGCCACACTGCTTACTTAAGGTGCCTATTGGGGACAACTGAGTGCCTGTAACTTCCTCTATGGCACTCAGCCAACTATTTTTTTCTAAAAAATTTACTTTACTACAATTGTTTAGAAATTATTTTGGTATATAAAAAAAAAGAAACTTACCCTACTGATTATGTGTTCAATTTTGATAGAAACTTCAGAAAATACTCTTACATTTTCTGTTTCTGTCTGCATTTATGCTGTATTTTGCATAGGTGTTAAAGTCCGTTTTGGTTTTAAAACAGCAGGAAGATTGTTCCCACTTTCCTGATGCATTGACACATCTATATATACATAATAAGTTAAGGCAAAATCTATTTCCAATTCATCAAGGTACTGGAGTATGAATTACATTTGTTTTGTACATCAGTTTGAAACTTATTTAATGTAGATTAGCCATATTGCATCTGTTTTGCTGTTTAATTTCATTTAAAATAATTAGAGATAAAAATCTGTCCAATTTCACTCTTGCTGTAATGACATTCTTTTCTACCATTCCAGCTATTGAACTTACCCTCATCCAGTATATGTTCCAAAAATAACTTTCAAGTTGACCTTCTTTCATAGATTTCCAATTATTTATTTAATTCTCATTGTTTTCTGATCATTTTTTATGTTATTAATGGAAAGATTATTGTAAATTAAATTTTGGTCACTCCTGACCAAAATTTAATTTACATAGGAAGGACCAAATTAAAGGAAAAAAAAGCATCACGTAAGTGAAGACAAAAAAGAAACAAAGAACTATGTTCAATTAAATGTCATTGACTTAATTTGCAATGAATATGTAACTGTGAAGGCATTTACAAAGAAATTTTATAAGTCTTACAGTAATAAATTTTATGTAAATGAATTTACTTACTTATTTTTTCCTATGCATTTATAATTTAACAACAGTTTTTCACAGCAAATATTTTGCTTGGTACAACGAGTTTTAAAAATAATACATTATCCAAAATGTTGACTTCTACCACCATTAATTTGATTAAAACAAATGCAAAGAAAGCTCAAGAGTATTGAGCTCACATTTGAATAAGTAAACTATCTGAAATGGCATCTAAAGTGTTACAGTTTCAATGAGAAAACAAAGAAATTTTACTTAGAATATGTATATCATAATTTCTAAATTCCACTCCTTTTATTTTGAGTTCATTTTCAATATATATTATAAAAACACAGTGACTAGATTGAAACTTAGTGAAAAAGTATGTTCACATTATGAAGCAATGGTGATTTTCTTGTTCCAGCCTGCCTAAGATAGAAAATTTGCTTGGGCCAAAAGTTTAAAAAGTTCCTTGCTATTCTACCTTTTACAAATTTTACTGTAAATGCATTTGTTTCTCCCTGATAACTGAAAATTTAAAAAGCTGTTTAAGATATTTATTTTATTTTGTTAGAGGATAAGTTATGAAATATTAAAGCTTTAATATTGTATTATATATTTCAGTAAAGGCCTTATACTTCTTTTAGCTGGGATGAACCCTCAAGTATCTTCACAATTATCATTTGCATTTGGTAAGTAAAAACATAATTTTAATTGCAATATTAAAAATAATTATCAAATGAACCAGATAATTAGAAAACTGTTATACAAATTGATTTGTAATTATTTTAAATTAATTGAATAAATACTTAATATAAATTTTGCATTTATATTTATTTATATAAGTATAAATTTTCATTCTTTCAGTTATATTGGTCTGCTTTAAAAAACTTATTGCATGTAGCTACAGGATTGTTGAAATGTTGACTTAATATATTTTCTACATTGACTTTATTCAGATCTAAATATGTTTTAGGAACTTTTACATTAGATTGTTACATTACAAAGTTTATGAGATCTTTCAAAAACCTAAAAAATAGTAATTTATTTAAAATAAATGAAAATATAATGCTGCTATTTTTAGGAATATTATTGCAATAAAATAGAAGTATTTTGAAAAACATACTAAACAACACATAGAACAGAAACAATAAACAAGATGGCAATATATTTGTTAAATTTGTTTCATATAATGTGATTTGTGTTAGAATAACTGATGCTTAATAAAAGGTATATTAAGTCCAATAGACATTGTCATATGCAAATGTATGAGATACCACTGCATAACACTAAGTGAACACCAAACCACAGGTACATAGACAAATGCTAGACAGGCATCATAGATATGACAAAGAATAGGAATCAAAGTATCAGTTTTATATTGCAAATAAAAGTGCAGGATCCTTTTATTAATGGTTTACAATTATATATACAAGAATCAGAGTTACTAATCTTTAGGGGTCGATATCTCTGACCCCTAAACACCTATAGTAATTCTGAATATCTCATTTGAAAGATAATTGTTTTCTTAGGTAGTATGCAAAATTTCAGCTTTTTCTATAAAGGAATTGCCGAAATATAAGTAATTGAAAAGTGCAAAAATCTCCAAAAAAGTTGTATTTTCTTCTTTTCTTCTCCTGGCACTACAGATGCTCATAGAGAAAAAGCCACTGGATCTAGAAAGTTCAAATTTTAAACTTAAGCCTATCTTGTTGTCAGTGAGGTGCTGGCAAAACTTCTGGATCAATAGATAAAAGTTTACAGGGAACCCATAGAGATATTTTATTTTTATTGCATAATTTAAGGCTTATAAGGATAAAATTGTATCAAAATGAATAATTTTCATTCAAAATGTTATCCAGAATAACAAAGGTCAAAATTATGCAAATTAAAACTTTTTATAATGATTTTACTAAATGATATATTGAAAATGGGTAAACCAAACTGTACATATATCATTGCCTTAGGCCTTTATATAATAATGTAGTCATTAAACAAAAAACAATTGATATCCAAACAAAAACATCCGAGATTTAAAAAATTGCATGAAGTAAAAATTACGACAATTTAGATGACAGTCAAATTTTTGTTTCTTTGGAGATTTTCTATGGTAAAGATAAGCTTGGCACTTCAAAGAGGCACCCATATTTTTATTGTTGTTTTCTACATTTTGATTTGAAGTGCTGAGCTTATATTTTTCAAAGAAAATCTGCAAAGAAACAAAAATTTGACTGTTGTCTAAATTGTCATAATTTTTACTTGGTGCAATTTTTTAAATCTCAGATGTTTTTGTTTGGATAAATAATTTTTAATGTAACTATTAAAAAAGAATTTGGAATTAAAACAAATTAAATTTAGTTTAATCATTAAAACAACAATTTACTTTAAAAATTAATGCAAGTATTTTAGAATTGATTGGAAGTTTAATGATAAATAAATATATTATAATAATTTATTTTTTAATAGGAATATTAAATGTTTCTTCTGACACTGTACCAACTGGATTTACTTCATTTTATGTTATAAAACATACAGAAAAATACACAGTAAGTAAAAAATACTAATTAATAAACTAAATGAAATATATTTATATATTAACATTTAATTATTCTCTATTTTTTAATTTATATAAACTCTATACATTAGTTAATTATATATATTAATCTTTGTAATTTACATTTGGAATTGAAGGAAAGTTTCATGTTATAATATAATTATATTAAAAAATAACATATAATTTAATTTTTGTTAACTGAAAATATTCCTGAAATAACAGCTATGGAGGAATTTGATATAATTTAGATTGTTTGTGTTTGAAAAACTATAAGCAAATTTTTCAGTATCATCTAATGGTAATTCACAAATCATATAAAATAATAGAAAAAGTTTTATTTATCTCAACTCTTTAAGCCACAAATAAAAAAATTATTGAAATGATCCATAATTTAATATGGAAAGTGATGTATTTAATGACTTTTTATTGATAAGTCAAGAAAATGTTATTTTATCTTAACTTGTCAATTAAAAGTCATTTTTTAATTTGATCTGATGGTTTTGCTTTTTCATTTCTATGTAAAAGGAAAGGAGATTACTTCTATTTCTAGTCTTTTGTCAGTGGAGATTTGCATTTTTTGCCATTCATTAAGCAATTTTTGTTGTTATTGTATAACGAAAGAGGTAAAAAATTGGTTTTGGATTTGGCTAGTTCTTAATAATTTTATTGTAGGAATCTTGTATTAGTTAATTGAATTACAGTCGACCCCCCCTATAACGTACGTTCCTATAACGACAATTCCTATAACATAGCGAAAAAACTGTAGAAACTTTCGTATAAAGTACCTCCTATAATGTCGTTTCGCGACAAGATTGATAGAGTCTGGACCAATAGTGGATGAGCAGCCGAACTACTTTCCTCTGACCCTGCGCCACGCTACGGAGTGGCTAAATTGAGTTTGCTATCGTCTGTTTAGTATTATATATAAATTATATATAAATTAGGTACTGTATATATAATTATATATTAATTATATATAAATTAGGTACTGTATATATAATTATATATTAACTTAATTTATTGTAACTTTATTATAATTATATATATGCTTTCTGCCGCCTGGCAACACACTACGGAGATTTTAGGCAATAAGTTGAGTTTTTATTGTCTGTACAGTATGTAAATTAGGTACTGTAAGTCTAATACAGCACTAATTTTATACATTTCTTGTGAAAGAAACACTTCTTATTCAACGTCCATAAAAATTATTTATATTAATGATGTCTCCAAAGGTCAAGTTATTTTTCTGCCAAAAATTCGTTATCAGAAATTGCGGCCGTCGTTTCGCGTGCTGTTCCGCGATGAAAACCAGCTTTAAGCAACGGCGTAGTCGAACGGTGTAAGTAATCCTACAATTTTTTGTTTATAGCATAGTTTATACAGATTATTCCCAAAAAATTATACGTATTTTGGAAATGTTGAGTGGAATTAGTCTAGAATCGGTTAATTTTATAGAAGAAAACCTTTCGAACAGCCTTAGTCCGTAAAGTTCACACCTATCGGGCTGCGATTGGATCATGTATTTAATCATTCTTATAACGTAAAATTCGATTAGCGTGGAACGTATCTAAGCGTTATAGGGGGATCTACTGTATATGTAAAACTAACTGTGTATGCTTGGCACTGCTCAGGCTTTTGAGGGAGTGGGCGATTGATAAGGTTGAGTTGGGAGAGGATGATATCATAAAAACAATGGTCTAAAATGTACATTTGTTGATCTCAAGTATTTTCAATAATGGAACTTCAAAACACAAAAAAATTTCTCAAGCTAAAGTTGACAAGGAGAAGAAACTTTGACATATTTTTCCCATAGACAACATTGTATCTTTGCCACTTCATCACACCTGAATCATTGCACCTTTCTCAAATTTCTCTTCAGTGGCATTATCTACAAGATAAGAGCTGAATGATTTGAGACCTGAACTGTATTTTTAGTCCCAGGCTTTTACTCAAACTAAGTTGAACAAACTGAAAAATTTCAGTTTCAGTTAATATATAGACATCTAACAACACACTAAATTCAAATTTCCTTTTATAAAATTCTGTATTTCTACTTTAGAAATATTTTTCAAACTGGGATAATTATGTAAGATTATACTGCTTTGATTAAAGTTGTTGATTAAAAAATAAGTTTTAAAATGTGTAAGTTTCTTTCCTATGTTTAGTTCATCAGTTTGTGATTCCATGCCTTTTGTTCTTTCTTCCACTGTTTGAAATTGATCCTTCAACTCTTGAATGCACTCACATGTCAAATCCATATCATCTTTTATATATGAAGAAGCTATCTGATTAACAAGTTTCTCATTACATATATTAATCAAGTTTGAGATTCTATTCCATAAGTCTGTCATTTGAAAATATTCATATCAGACATTTTCCTCCCAATAGATTTTCAACTTGCAAATTTGTGTCATAATCAGGTATATTTAAATTATTAAACATATGTATGAAGATCTATTGTCTGTAATGATATCATTGAGTTAATAAAAAAAATTCACTTCATCAGAATCAAATATGTTTTGACAAATTATATTCAGTTGTATTTAGACTATGGTTATCATTAACAAACCTATGTAACCTTCAAAAGTTCAATTATCATAATTTTGTAAAAGCTATATGCACTAGGGTTTATACAAAAACCGACTTTCTAAAAAACTGGTTTTTGAATCTCAATTTTTCTACGAAACTGGTTTTAACCAGTTTTCAAATTTTTACCCCCCAAAAAATGAAGATAAAGGATATTTACAGTTTGTTTTAAAACTTTTAAATTTACTTAATATTTATAACATTTCAAAAATATAACAAAATAAAATCGACCAATATCTACACAAAACAAAACAAAAAAAAAATAAAAAAAACTGCTAGAATATCACATTAAACTATAAAATTTACTCCATAGAAAACTATAAAGAAAAAGGAATAACAATGAATGCCTACAAAATATTTTTTTATTTCTTATTTTTCCTAAGAAAATATGGTTTTAGAAAGCAAAGAACATCTACAGATGTATTGCTCAACTGAGTCCTTAGTTTGCACATAAAATTGCCAGAAATAGAAAATACTCTCACTTGCTACTGACTGAGCTGGGTTTCATCGTCTTTAAAGCATTAAATAATAAATCTAAATTTTTCATTCTTCTGTTTGTACCCTCTGATACTACCATTCTTCTTTAGTGTTTTAGGGCTGGACGAAGTCACTTTTTCAAGTTCTTGAAGATATTTATGTAATCAATCTTGTGCAACCTGATTTTGGGGGCTATAACTCGTGAAGGGTGGCTTGTAGAGGTATGGTTCCTTTGACTATTTTGCTCCTATGGATATGCTCTACAGCTTTGATAAGGTCCCAACCATCTCATTTAGAGCTTGAATTGAGCCAAATCAGACGCTTTTTGGGTGTAGAGGGATTTTTTTGTTTTGTAGTTAGTTTTATGAAACTTAGTATTTAACAATATTCTTGTTTTATGCTAGAGACGATTTTGTGTCAAAATGTTGATGTTTTTAATCAAATAATTAATTAATTTTTATGGTTTAAGTGTAGGCTCAAAAACCGATTTTTTTACTTGGGAAAACCCGGTTTTCAAATTATACAAATTTCTTCAAAAAACCGGGTTTTAAAAACTGACAAATCCTAATATACTCTGCAGTTTATATTAATTGAAGATGAAACATATTTTTGTATATTGTTTTTTCAATTATTGATAAATATAATATAAATTATGCACTTGAATAAATAAAACTGTTATATTATTATAATTTTGATGTATGAAATATTTTTTATATTTTTTTATTTTTAGGAGAGAGATGAAGAAAGAGTTTTAAACTATAAGTTTATTTTACCTAATGCAAATAGTCAGTTAGCCTATATTTATAATAATCATGTGATATTATCTTTTCTTGGTAAGTGTTAATAATGTTTATAGCTATGTAATATTGATTTTATTCATTCAGTTTTAATAATTGATATTTTTTTAATAAAAATTACAAATACTGAAGTAGCTTTTCTTTTGTTTTTCTTGTGAAGAGTCAGTTCAGTGTAATCTATCAATAAATTGATTCACATAATCTATGATACAAAATTATTTCTTAAATAAAGTTTAATATTATATTGTAGATTATATAAATCAATTTATTGATATAATATACTGAGAAAAATCATAAGCTTTGCATTTGTTTGGATTATCACTGAAGAGGCCAAATTTTGTGTATGTACAATTGTCAGCATAACATACACCCTATGTATTTACATTACAAGAGGCCAAAGCATTGTCACTTTGGCAAAATGCATTTGATAGATAACTTATAATTGTATGGTGATGTGTAATAGTTAAAGTAATCTTGCCCTAGTTTAAATGTTGTTTGAATATTTTTAATTATCTATGAAGTCAGAAAAGGCTGAGATTTTTTTCTTAAATTTTTAATAAAAGTAATTCTGACCCCATCATAAAGTTTTTAAACTTTTATCATTTTTATTAACATAATATCAAAAGTAAATTCATTTTTTTGTCCTTACCAATAAATTCAGACTATACTATATAATATGGAATTCTCATCAAGTTTTGTGTAGATAAAAAGTCTGAGCTTAAAGGACTGTAAAGGAAATCTGAGTATTGGAATAATCATTCATTGGTTGTCCAAAAATGGTGTTGTACCAAAGCATTTACCTATTGTTCAGATTAAAAGCAATCTACAGTTTAATGTCAAGATTTTTCTATGACAAGCCAGAAGAGAAAAAATGGAGCAAAATAATATAGTTGAACCATATTTCTACATTTCTCACTTGTATGTTGTTTTGCAATTATACATTATTTTTCTGTATGGTACTTTCTCCATTATAAAATACTTCAGTTATACATTTTTCATTTATATGATTTTGCACTTATATTTTTCAGTACTCTATCATACTTTTTTCTTTCTTATGTGTTATTTACTTTGAAATGGAAAAATTTAAAGCTGTTATTAAAAAAAAAACGGAAAAGCAAATTATGTATTCACTTCAGCTTAGTCCATACTGACAGTGAATCACTGACAATTGCAAAGGGCAGTGTAATGATATGTAATATGTGATGCAAATTCTGACTAATTTTCCCATTTAGCAAATCACTCTGCTAGTTCAATATGTTGAAAATTCTTACTTTCTGCATTTTGTAGTGTGAACAAATTTTTCTAAACGAATAAAAATTGCTTTCTGGTTTATCATTCATTTTTATTAGTTTCTGTCAGTATGATAGCTAACCTTTAGGATGACTTTTTCATTCTTTCAAATTGACTGGAGTTTGATGGAAGAAAACAACTGATATACTGTACAAGTATGTGACATCAGTTGTTTCTCTTCATCTTACTGGTACAGTAATATATAACAAGTCCATTAAAAAAACAAGAAACAAACAAACCTTGGTCAGTTTTTTATAAAAGTATATGACTTAATTTCGCACTGTTTTACTTTTATATGTTGTTTAAATGTTTTATATATATATAAGAAATTGAAACTTCTTTGTTAAGAGTTATATGTACCAGTACAAATCCCATGTTAATTTCCATCATGTCGTACTTTTGTGACAATTTACTTCTATACAAAATTTTTCTCAGTTTCCTTTAAAAATGTATTGTATAAATGGTGTATGACTATATTTGAGTACCATTGGATGATCGCATACTTGTTAAGTTATATTTTTGGCAAATGTGTTGCAATAGGCTTTCAAGTAGCAGGGGACTTTGCATAAATATACATACAATATTCAATTATCATATCACAGGTAGAGCAAGTTAATAAGGTATTTGTTCATTATTTGGATATTAGCATCAAAATATTGCAGGAAGTTTTCTGCATATTAATTTACAGGAAGTTAACTACAAACCATCAGCCATGTGTACATAGTGTGTCTAAAAGATCCTATCAAATACAAAGGTGTGGATTTTTCAGTTTAGCCTTTTGGACTAAACTGAAAAAAACTAGAAAAGTCTTCAATTATCTTTTTCATTGTGCTATACATATAATTTATTATTTTTCCATATTTTAATTACATAAATAGAATAATAATTTAAATATATCTTATTTATTAATTTTTTACCTTTGTCTTGTTTTATATTTCCTCAAGTAGTTTTATAATATATTTTTTAAATACCATATTAAGTATACTTTTTTGTGTGTATTTTGACAATAATAGATTGTTTTTCATATGTTATATTCATTTTCATATCTTGAAAATATCAAACCATTATCATATTTTTAATTTTTATATCAAAATAGTTTATATAATTGTTTGAAAACAAAAATTTTGTTATAAATTATATTTATTTCATATCAGGATACATTTGTATAATTTTTAACATAATTGCTTCCTATTTCAACACACTTTCTCCAGTATGTCTAGTGACTAGATAGCATCCCAGAGGGTTTTAGGTTGCTTGAAGAGCCATTTTTACGTGGCTTGTTTTGGGCTATCTTTACTTTGAAAATGTCTTCTCCAAATATTTTCTTCATTGGTCCAAAAAAGTAGTGATCTCTAAGGATCAGAGTGAATTCTCTAGCATAAGTACCTTTTGTTCAGATGTCAGGTAGTATTAACATCCACTACATATTCTTTGTTGAATTGCAGCTTTTATTTGAGACAAGATATGTGTAGAACTAACATTTATATTTAATTTAGCAGTGATTTTAGCAATACTTTTTCAGCTTTTTAAATAGTGGATGGCATATGTTGCTTTAATATATCTGGTCTTGCCATGGAGCTTTGACAATATCCTATTGGACATTTTAAATTTCTGCATTCACTTGTAGATTTAATCCTAGGTAAATATATGTCTTTGTACACTTTCATTCTGTGGTAAATTTGCCAAGAAAAATTGTTTACGCCTTAACATCACACCTATTCACACCTTAACTTACATTATGTAACATAACATAGCATTTGCAAGATGAACATTTGTGTGAAAGTACGTGTTTACAATGTTGAGTACACATTTGCAAGGTGACCATTTCTGTGAAATTATCTAACATGCTGCAGATATAAGATGTAAGCAAATTTTTGTTGGTGTCTTCCACTTTCTGCCATTAGGTATTGCCAGGACATGTGCTTATTTAAGACTAAAGCATGTTCCAATGTATTTGCATTACATAATATTAAAACAAAGTTATTGTTTTTATTTAAATTTTTCAGATAATTTCAATATAAATAAATACAAGTTTGACTGCTGTAATATATGGTCTATATGGTTAGGATTAATAATAATAAATAAAGTTGTATCCTAATTATAGTAATAAATGAATATAGTTTGTTTGTTGATTAATAAATGAATAAAATATTTAAAATGAAATTTTATTTCGTTTTAGTTGATACTGCTACAGAAGAATCTGATGTTATTGAATTTAGTAGTCATGGAGATAAGATTTTAGGTGCAGGTATGAAGCTTTCATCAAACATTGAACAAAACAATAAAACAATAATTTATTTACTCATATCATATCCAAGATTTTAAAGTTTTTTTGCATTATGTGTTGAATTTAATTAAACTTATAAGTTGTGTGTGATTATAAATGATAATGATTAAACATTGAAAAGGCTTTTATAATTTTAAATTTGAGATGGTGAACACTTTTCTTGAATTTAAACATCAGACTTGGATATTAGACAGATCTCAAATATTCAAATATTTTGAATGCTTAGTGAACTTAATTACATTACCTTATATGACTTATTTAGTTAATTTTATTTAATATTTATTATTTAAATAGTTTATGTATTTCTATATAGGACAGTTTGTTTTAATCAGTCCACTGAGATAACTCAAAAAAATACATATCCTACAAAAAATCATTGAACAGAAAATGTTAGCCTTCAAGGGGACCACAAGATGGGGCTGTCACTTTCATCAAAAATGGTGCTTAGGTTAGTGAAAATGGAGTCAGTTTCTGAAATTGAAACTCCCATTTTTTATTGCATGTTATGATTTTACACAAAAAGCAAGCAAAATTTATCTAAAAACATTTTTTTTAAAGATTCACTTATCATAATTTATGAAGTTTTATGTGGCTGCTGCACAGTTTGAATCTGGATATCTATACATTAATTGAAAAAGGAAGAAAAATTTTTAAAAAATAATTAGGAAACTATAATTATTTGATGGAATCAAGATCAACATCATCTTTTTATAACAATATTTTTGTGAATTGACTGGCATACTGCATATAACTGGAGAAGACAAGCATGCTGGAAACCTTGGGGTTATTGGAATAGTGGTTAAACTGCGACTAAAAAATTAAATTAATCAAATCTAACAAAAATAATTATGAAATAACTGTTAAAGAAAACATTCATCTGCATACAATAAAATAATAACATTGTAATTTAATGGACTTAAACATTAGGAAGAGAATTTGCATTTAAAGGACAATAAAACAATTAATGGCTTATTGATGTTAGCAGCAGCAGCAGCAGCAGTAGTCAATCAATCTGGGCTACTCTGACCTTAAAAATAACACTTTCCTCTCAAATTTCACACATAGCAAATGTTAATTGGTGTAAATTCAGATAATTTACAGTAAATTTCTGAAATTTGATATGTTTATTTTTTATGTTTTTTGGATCAGCTTACAATAAAATAAACATAAAAAAGCACTTGCAATAGTCCATGAGTATTTTATGTTGTTAGAAAAAAGACAAAATGCAGAAATTAACCTTCTTAGAAGCAGTTACCACGCCCCGTGTTTACGTTTATTGTCTAGAAGGGCCAAGGTCAATATAGGTCAACAAGTTATATTATTTCAAAAATTCACCAAAAATCAAGTTATTGTTATATTCATATGACAAAAATCACGTTACATTTATTCATATCTGTAGTTATAAATACGATATTTTAAAATACATTTCCATAAAAAAATTCAATAGAAAAAAATTATAATATATCAGAACTGACATCTGTCTGTGAAAATTTGCAACATTTTTTAAAATTCACATACTCCAATTAAGTAGTTTGTTCTTGGCACTAAGCCAGAACGACTTGAAATGTTGTTCTGTACAATTCTATATAACATTTATGAATGTACGATTTTTAGTTTTAAAATTATCACAGATTATAATATATCCTTTGTTTGGAATCTAACCTTTGTTTTGCTATCGATGAATATTATGAACTAATATTCTTTATTCATTCTATTTTGAACAATAATATAAATTATTGTGATAAATATATAAACTAGT